GCGGTCGGGGGGCAGGGGGGGGATGTAATTTCAGTCTAAGGTGCATAAGAATTGATGCATTGACTTTAGTTGGGAGATCGTCAGTGTAGCTGGAACTGCTCCCTGTATTTCTCATCCAGTAGCTGATTCGTTATTTAAATAGTTACATTTTCATATAAAATTAAATCACAGAATCATTAGATATCAGCTGGATTTCAACTGGTAATACAAAGGGGATAGGAACTTGACTAACATTACATTACTTTAATAGGTGCCATGCCCTGCTGGGAGTGTAAGCAGGTCTGCGGGCAGGTGGCGCAGGCGATGCATTCATTCTTTACAGTATACGTGACACAAAGGCAGCCTATTTCAGCGATAACCAAGGTCACGGTAACAGCATACCAATCCCCGTAAATACTCACCTGCCTTTCTCTTGAGCCAACAGCACAAGAATAGGGTCATAGTGGTGAGACCAAGGCCGCCAAGCAGCCCCTCAAGCATGGGTGGAGGAGGGCTTTCTCTGTCCTCTGCAGGCACTGAGGAGAGAGACCTGTGCGTGAGCTGCCAGGGAGAAGGACTTCGGTTTGGAGAGCAGATGTCTTGAGGCCAAGGCCAGCCCTTTGCAGGGGGAGGGGGCAGTGAGACTTAGTTATCTAGAGACTTGCAGCTCTTCTCAACGATGAAAGAACCAGAGATGCACCCAGCCCCTCGGTCCTCCAGGCCCCTCAGCTACACCCCCAGGGCGGCACCACCCGCCGAACCCCATCTGGGGTAACACAGCAGCAAAAACACCTCGAGGCCCGTGAAACCCTCCCGGCTGCTGAGAAGGAGACGTTCACCAAGACCGATCCTGGGCTGAGCTGTACCTGTGACGTGGAGAGGCACCGCCTCACTGCGCTGGGCTCCCCGGCCATTGTCGGCCTCGCAGGAGTAGTTCCCGCAATGTTCTGGGGTCAAAGAGAGGTTCAAGGAGGCCCCTCCTCCGAAGGGGACTGAGCTGTTCCCCAGGGGGACATCCTCGAGGAAAAACTGGTACTGGATGGGAGGAGAGCCGCTCCGGGCCTCGCAGTGCAGCTCCACCACGTCCCCCACCATCTGCTGGGGCCCCGCAGCCTTGACGGTGAGGACAGGCTGAGACACTGGAACTGAAAAAGATGGTGGGGTGTCCAAGAGGGTGTCGGACAGTGTGGCAGCCTCACCATCTCTTCCCTCAGGGGCTCGGCCCCCCGAGCTTCCTCCGGATGCCCCCGAGGAAACAGGGGTCCCGTGTGCCCGCTCCTGCCAGCTGATGGGCAGGGACACTTACTTCTGACAGCGATGCTCACCAGCCCACTGAGGCTGGGGCCATAGCCGTTGTCCGCGGAGCAGTAATAGGCCTCGGCGTCCTGTTGGCTCACCGCAGGAATCTCAAACCCGGCCATCAGGGAGCGCTGGGTCTTGGCTCCCAGGTTTGACCCCAGGGCCCCTCGGTACCACCGGAAGGTGATGTCTCCTGTGCCCCCCGCGGCCATGCAGACAAGAGCCAGCTGCTCTCCCTCCATCACATGGCCCCCTGGGGGCTGTGTCGCCAAGCTCACATTGTACACAGGGACTCCTGCCAAACACAAATGACACGTGAGCCCTGAGGAGGAGTTTCAGGGGCAGGAGTGAGGATAACTGTCCTGGGGAAAAGGCGTTGGATAAAGTCAATCATTTATGTAGTTTAATTTGGGGGGAGGGGGCCGAGGGTTCTGCTGATTTGAAATTGGCGTTGTTTGGGTTCATGGTGGTAGGATAAGAAGGCACCATAGTATCACCGTGGAGGAGGCAGCATCACCTCCCTCCCTAGGACCATGGACCTCCCACCACCCTGATGTCTCTCAGACACTCATTCCTCACGGCACAAAGCCACTGGTTAATATTGCGTGTCGCAGATCAGACTGCCTGGGTTTGAGTGGTGCTTCCAACGCTGCTGGAACAGGGCCTGCCCTCTAGGTTGGTGTGTGTGTGTGTGTGTGTGTGTGCGTGTGTGTGTGTGTGTGCGTGTGTGTGTGTGTGTGCGTGTGTGTGTGTGTGTGCGTGTGTGTGTGTGTGTGCGTGTGTGTGTGTGTGTGCGTGTGTGTGTGTGTGTGCGTGTGTGTGTGTGTGTGCGTGTGTGTGTGTGTGTGCGTGTGTGTGTGTGTGTGCGTGTGTGTGTGTGTGTGCGTGTGTGTGTGTGTGTGCGTGTGTGTGTGTGTGTGCGTGTGTGTGTGTGTGTGCGTGTGTGTGTGTGTGTGCGTGTGTGTGTGTGTGTGCGTGTGTGTGTGTGTGTGGTGTGTGGGGTGTGGTGTGTGGTGTGTGGTGTGTGGTGTGTTCCACCATCACCAGTGTTGATTGTGAGCAGGTCTGGGAAGCCCAGGCATCTGGAGAACAGCTGCTTTATGGCGCAATGGACACATCTTTGTCTGAGAATGAAAGGATATCAGAAGCATCGGCCCTGACTTGCGATAACATCTGTGATTTTGAATCAGAAAACACCTTTTCTATCTTTGAAAACCAGCCCCACACTTTTCTTCCATTAGCCCATCTGTAATAGCCTATTCCACAAAGCCTTCTCTTGCAACCTCGGTCATCTTTCTCTCTTCTCAGTATTTTTATTAATAGCCCATCCTACACAACACCCTCTATTTCACCGTAGTTGTTCAAAGTGCTGAGTGAGCAACAGCTGCTGGTATCAGGGACCATGTATTATGTAGATTTTCTCCGCTCTCTGCTGCAGAGTGAAGACGCACAGTCAAGTTTGTCTAAAGAGTCTTCTGCTCGCTTGAATGGGAATAGCAAGGAGAAGGGAGGACCCCTCAGGACTTGCCTGGAGAGAGCAGCTCGGGAGCAGAACAGAACAGTGAGCACAGCCCAGGCTCACGCCCCCCTGAGCACCCAGCAGAGGCCCCAGTGGCACTCACCCTGCACAACTATCTGGATTCTCCGGCTCCGAATGACTTTAGGTCCCTCTCCCTGAGCTTCACACCAGTAGGACCCTGAATCTCTCCTCTTCAGGGCAGTGATCTGGAGCTCCGAGGAGTTGTTCCAGCTCAGCCCCAGGGCAGAGCCATCTTTGAAGAAGAAGAACTGGAGCGGAACATCTAACTTCTGTGTGGAGAGTTGGGTCTTGCAGGTCAGGGTCATCGCGTTCCCCTCTATGGGCCGAGGAGGGCTGACTGTCAAAAGCAGCGCTAGAGAGAAGGATAAACACATATTCCAGGGCAATGGCATTCAAAGTCACTTTGTATTCTTAGCATTTGAAACAAGACTGAGAGCCTGCCCTAGCTGGTGTGGCTCAGTGGATAGAGCGGCAGCCTGTGGACTGAAGGGTCCTGGGTTTGATTCCGGTCAAGGACACATGCCTGGGATTCAGGCTTGATCCCCAGTAGAGGGTGTGCAGAAGGCAGCTGATCAATGATTCTCTCTCATCATTGATATTTCGATCTCTCTCCCTCTCCTTTCCTCTCTGAAATCAAGAAAAATAAGAAAAGAGTGAGGACCAGCCAACTGGACACACAGATCACAACATCACCCACAAGTGGTCCATGGGCTTTCTCCTGCCATCCGCTCACCCCCAACACACCTGCCTCCGTGTAGCATCGCCTCCTACCACAGGCAGCCCTTACCTTGGACTCGGTCCTTACTCACTGACGTTTCTACCCATGAACTAAGAGCAGCCCTTCTGGAGACCGTGCCGGAATCCTGACCACTGTCATTGCAGCTGGCGTTGCGGAAGACAACGCTTGAAGTCATCGGAAAAGCGAATATATTTCATCCATCCTTGTTGTAGGCCTTAGTGGCTATTTTCTCCTGTCTCCTTTCCCCTGACATCTCAGACCATCTCTTTCCAAGACAGAATATAAAACCTGGAGGATCTGGGAAAGACTTAGAGAAACTCACTTCCCTCTTCACCTATTCTCTTCTGCCCTTATTATTGCAATGAAAGAAGCAGGCATGTACTTGCTTAGAAATGTCCTCCATCCACACGTCTGCACAGCCTGTGTTCTGAGACTTTTTTTTTTTACTTTTTTTCATTTATTTATGTCTGTTTGTTTGTGGGGTTTTTTTCTTTTTCTTTTTTTCTTGTGAGACTTCTTGACAAGGCCCTTTAGAAGCCATGCTTACAAGGAGAAAATTTAACCCATATCTTGAGCCTCGGGGGTGTATGTTTTTGACAGAGGAGCTTTTTCCTGGATGAATTAAAGATGGTTATATTTGTATACTGCTTTCATCTCATCTCCTTATGGTAGGAAGGAAAGAGGTATTTCTTAAAACTTCCCAAATAGTAGAGGCTCTGAGGGTTGAATAAACAAACCCCTGAATGGCCAGTGCTCTAGGGGATTTTGATGTTTCATGGGCTGATGCATCTTTAATTCACCAGCTAGAAATGCCAAGTGCTGCAGATCCCCGGGGGGTATTTCTGGTTTGATATCTGTAATCTTTACCCTGGAATGCGGTGCCTTGGGACTTGCAGAACATCAGTTCCAGAATGATGCGACAAGATTTGCCCGTGCTAGGGGGTGGGATGCCCTGCACAGTGGAGTCACTTTCTCTCCTTGGATAACTGCAGTCCCTAGAGGCCTGAGGAGCAGCACAGATGTAGGGCCTGAGCAGGAAAGGGAAGGGAAAAGGTACCTGGGCACCCTGGAGGCCACTTTTCTGAATGAGCCTGGGTTGGGGATGGAGTAGGACATCAGAAAGCGCAGTTTTCAAGGATTTGGAGCTCAATCTTACAGCTTGGAGTTTATTTCAAATTAGAGGTCCGGTGCACGAATTTGTGCATGGGTGGAGTCCCTCAGCCTGGCCAGTGATCAGGGCCCATTGGGGCCATCTTGCCCAGTCCCGATCAGGGCCTATAGCGCAGGCCGGGACCACGGGAGGTTGGCCAGCCACCATGGGAGGTTGCTGTGGGAGCGCACTGACCATCAGGGTGCAGTTCCTGTGTTGAGCATCTGCCCCCTGGTGGTCAGTGCGCATCATAGCTACTGGCCAGTCTTCCAGTTGTCTGGTGGTAATGGTCACTTAGGCTTTTATAGAGAGAGATAATTCTCAGGCACAGAGGCCCCATGGGAAATTCCTGGTGGCAGAAGCTTCCATCACCCTGGGTGTGGCTTAGGCTAGGACTAGGTGCCTGTGTGGCTTTTCGGAGGAAAAACAGGGCCAAGAATAAGACACCGTGGCATTAGCACAGACTCAGACAAACACCAGGTGAGGGACCCAGCCGGAGGAGTCGGCTCTGAGTATCTCCCGTCATAGGAACCCTAATCTGGGGTTCCCTCGCTGCACGTGCAGCCTGTGCTCCTGATGGGACAGGACAGCCTCGTTTAACCCCGTGCTTAGTATTTTATGTACAAAAAGAGAGTTCTGACACATATCACATTGGAACACACTTCAGTACATATTTCTTCTGGGGGGAAATGGTCTCCTCTCTCCATCTGGTAAAGGTAAGACCTTAAGCGAGGATCAGAACAATGAAGTAAGTTTGCAGACGTCAGAGTCCGAGAGAGAAACCACGCTGGGTAACTGCTGTGGCAGCAGCTCAGCTAACACTGGGAAGGAGCCGGCAGCATTATTTTATGTTGCACGCGGCCCCAGGGCTGGCTGTGACGGTGTTCTCCGTGGGAATGTGGCTCCTTTCTCCCTCCTGGTGTAACACCCAGCTGAGGAGTACACTGGGGCCTCAGAGCCCCTGAGGCTGCGAGGGCAAAGACTCTTCTAAAATCAATCTTTGAGGGAGGGTGGCTGGGTGGGAGGTAATCAACCAAAGACCTTGTATGCACATATGCATAACCCGTGGACAAGACAGTGGGGTGGTGAGGGCCTGGGGTGGGGCGCGGGTATGAGCTGGAGGGAATCAATGGGGTAAAAGGGGAGCATATGTAATACTTTCAACAATAAAGAATTCTGAAAAGAATTGTTATATCAATAAAACAAAATCAATCTTTGACACCCATGACTTCTGTGTGCAAGCAGCATATCCCTCCCTAAGCTGGGACTCCCAGGGGGGGAAAAAAAGACTGTGGTTTTGAGGGAAGACCAGCACCTGCTCCCCGAGCTCAACATGCAAATCTCAGGTGCAGAAACAAATGTGAACACCGCAGCCGAGGCCCGGAGGGGCCACGGTTGTTTATACACCTCGGTAGCTGTCACCAGATGTCAGACAGCCACCCACTGGCCTCCGGGGTTGGCCCCCGTGTCAAGGTGCCCACCGACCATGAAGAAGAAGGGGAAGTGCAACTCACCTGTCGGTTCACAGGGCTGGCCTGGGAGAGAATCGGCAGAGGTCAGTGCGGACAACAAACCCAAAGCCCGTGCCAAGTTTAATTTCCCCAAGCGTTTCCCAACAACAGACCCTCCCTCCCTGCGCCCTCCCCCACATCTTTCCCTTCCTCTTCCTTCACTCTTTCTCTCCTCCCTTTCTTCTCTTCTCTCCTCCCTTCCTCCTGAGTTTTACCCTTCCTTCCTTCTTTTCTCCTTTCTCTCCATTGCTCTTCTCACATTCCACATCACCCATAAGACATCTGCCCATAAACAACACATAGTTCATTTTATGATTATAAAGCAACTTCCAAGAGCTTCTCTCATTTATAATTGCACGATGGTGCCTTTGTTTTAGAACTACTTAGCAGCTCCCTTCTTCAAGCCGCCCATTTCCAGGCCCTCCTCTTAAAGCGCCGGATGACCCAGCTCTAATGCGGCCCCATGTAAAGGTAGCCAGGACAGGACAGTGGGAAGGCTCAAGGCCTGGTGATCACTAAAACTGCACCTCCTGTGGGAATGCAGGCTCTACAGCCCGATGGCATTGGTAAGAGGCTCTTCCTCTTACACGTTGTGTCACCCTGAGAAAAAGGTTTCATCTCTCTGTACTTTTCTTTTCTGAAAAAAAATGGAGACAATAACAGACTTGCCTCATAGAGTTTTGTGAGAATTAAATAAGTTGATAGCCATAAAATGCTTAGAATAGTGCCTAGAATTTATTCAACGTTCAGTAAATATTATCTCATTATTAATGTCATCTATTTAAGCCCATGTTTAGTGTGAGATGCCTTCTTTTTTTTAGGTTAAATGTTTATTATTTAAGAAATTAGCCGAAACCGGTTTGGCTCAGTTCCTCGGGTAGAAGAAAAGAATGGATAAAGGCTTACATGAAAATCACAATTTCTGCCGAAACCGGTTTGGCTCAGTGGATAGAGCGTTGGCCTGGGACTGAAGGGTCCCAGGTTTGATTCCAGTCAAGGGCATGTACCTGGGTTGCGGGTACATCCACTGTAGGAGATGTGCAGGAGGCAGCTGATCGATGTTTCTTTCTCATCGATATTTCTAACTCTCTATCCCTCTCCCTTCCTCTCTGTAAAAAATCAATAAAAAATATATTTTAAAAAAAGAAAAGAAAATCACACTTTCTTTATTCATCTATACAACAAATACTATATACGAGGCATTGTAGATGACACTTACGTTACAGGAATAAAGATGAATGGTAGTCTTTGTTGTCAAAATTTTACATTTCAGTGGAAGAGAGCCAATTAAAAATAAACATATGGCATGGTTTCAGAGAGTGATTAGCGCCATAAGGAAAATAAGTCAGAGAAATAAGTTACTGATGATCTCATGATGGTCTTGACTATTTAGATAGATGTCAGTCGAGGAGAAACCTAAGTGAAATTAGGGTGAAAGCCTACTGGGTATTTGGGAACGATCATTTCTGGAAGGGACACAGCGCCTGCAAAGACGTTAAGACGGCATCACCTTTCTCACGGCGGGATAGGAAGGCCAGCGCATCCGGAATCGACCCGGTGGACCGACAGTGCTTGGTACCGGTGTGAGAGAAGTAAGCAGGGGCCCGTCGGGGGGTTTCTGGACTCGGTAATAGTTTGGGATTTTATTTTAGACTAGCGGCCTGATTGTGCCTTTGGTATGAAGTCACATGCAGCTGCTCAGGCACAGGTGTGAAGCATGCAGAAACCTGTGTTAATCAGGAGGCTGCTGCGGGGGAAGAGAGATGAAGGAATATGCAACGGAGTATTGTGATGGGTAGAGTCTAAGGTGACTACTGTGAGAAGAGAGGATGCAGAGCGCAGTAATTGCCGATGGAAAAGTAACCTTGGGGAGTTGAGACATGTTGGAGACAGAGCATTAAAGAGCGTGAGCTGGAGATACAGTCTGTTCGTTGTGTGGGGAAGGGGCTGATACTGAAAACAACGATTTTGGAAATAGGGCAGTTGTTAGCAATGCTCTAGGGATTGATGGTAGGAATGGAAGGTCATAAAAAGATAAAGGAAAACAATGTTTATAGTAAGAAGGGCAAAGAACTGAGAGACCAATTTGTGGTACAAACTATCTTTGTGGCTATCGAAAAATACCCAAAACAAAATCATCCATTAAAAGTAGAAAGACATGCCCTAGGCAGTTTGGCTCAGTGGATAGAGCGTCCACCTGCGGACCAAAGGGTCCTGGGTTTGATTCCGGTCAAGGGCAAGTACCATGGTTGCAGGCTCCTCCCTGGCCTGGGTCCTGGTCAGGGCTCGCACAGGAGGCAACCAATCGATGTGTTCCTCTCACATCGATGTTTCTCTGTCTTTCCCACTCTCTCTAAAAACTAATGGAAAAATATCCTCAGGTGAGGATTAACAACAATAAAAAAAAAAAGTAGAAAGACAGCCAGGCTCGTGTGGCTCACTAGTTGAGCATCAACCTATGAACCAGGAGGTCAGGGTTTGATTCTCAGGGCAATGCCCAGGTTGTAGGCTCCGTGCCCAGTGTGGGGCAAGCAGGAGGCAGCCAATCAATGACTCTCTGTCATCATTGATGTTTCTAAATCTCTCCTTCTCCCTTCCTCTCTGAAATCAATAAAGAACATATAAAAATAAATAAATGAAAGTAGAAAGACAGACGGTGAACACATCCTATGAGATAAAAGCTAAGATGATCATTTCCTTTTTAAAAATCTGTCTTTCCTGTATCTACCCCTTTCTGCCTGACCCCACCCTCAGTTGGAAGTAGAGATCTAAGCATCCCTGAGCATAGCCAGGCAGACTGCTCCTGAGAGTCCCACAGCTCTACAGGAGACAGAGCCCCGGGTGATGGAACCCCAGACTCCGCATTGTCCTACTCACCACAGAGCAACAGCAAGAGCTTCAGCAGCATGAGGACAAGGCCAGGGGCTGTAATCTGAGATGCTTCTCAGAGTGAAGAGGTGAATTCCTCAGATGTTTGAGGAAGTCGGCCCGGAAGTCACCCTGCAGTGCAAGTCTACAAAAATAGAAGAAGAAACAAGGGTGCTCCAATGGCCAGTTTCTATTTTCTGTTCTGTAGAGGCTGAGAAGATGAAAGGTGCCCTGCCAAGCTTCAGTCAGGGTGCCAAGGGCCAGCCACTGGTAACGACTTGCATGAGAGAACCTCCCGGAAGGCCAGGGACCAGCACACCATGTGGCCAGGTTTGTACAAAACCACAGCAAAATCCAACGAACTCCACAAATAACAGGTCGAAAGGGTACTAGTAATAGCAGCAGGCTCAAAAATATGTGGAGAAGAACTCCACTTTTTAAATATTTTCTTTATTTGTTCATTTATATTTTTTTCATTTATTTTCTCTTTACTATTTCTGTGTTATCTCATTTATCTCTTCTTTTCTTATCTATTTTTTCTCTTTCTCTTTTCTTTTTCTGTTGTTCTTTTATTTAATACTAGGGGCCCAGTGCATGAATATTTGTGCACCTTGAAAGGAACTGTGGGCCACAAGGTTGTGGTGGACACAGTGGCAGGTCTCAGCCCATCCTCTGTGGTGGACACAGTGGCAGGTCTCAGCCCTGCCTGGCCTCTCCCACTCTGGCCTTCAGTCCCCTGTCTGCCAGCAGCCCCGCTCCCACCGGCCCCGCTCACACCCACTTACAGTGCAGAGCGATTGGGGCCAGCACCGTCAGTGGGTGCGAGCAGTGGCTGCTGCCCCATTGCCCCTCAGGAGCAGGGGAAGGTGAAGAAGCCCTGAGGGGTGATCGGGGCCAGCAGCTACCACTCACACACGCTAACATTGCGGAGTGATTGGGCCCGGTGCCAGGCACCAGCAGCAGGTTCAAGTGGTGGCTCGAATGCTGGCAGCAGGTGCAAGCACCAGGCGGGACTGCAGTGTGCGGGAGCAAGGAATTTTCAGTAACCACCAGAGGTTGCCCTGATGACAGCAAACAGTGCCCCGCCCTGGTCTGGTGCCGCCACTCACCTGCTCCACCATCCACCGTGGCTGACGCCCACCATGTTCTGCACACACCACCTGGTGGTCAGCACACGTCATAGCGACCAGTTGTTCAGTTGTTCTGCCATTTGGTCTATTTGCATGTTAGCCTTTTATTATATAGGATTTTATTTTATTCATTATTATTACTGTTTTATATTATTATTATTATTATTCCATTCATTATCTTTATTTTCTTTTGTATTCTTATTCTGTTTTACCACTTTCTTCTCTTCTTTCAAATTTTCTTTTTTCATTTTTTTTCTTTAATTCTTTTGGCCTCTTTTAGTATTCATACATTTTTTTCTTAATTTTTTTTGCTGTCTTTATTTTATTGTTGATGATGGTTTGGTGTTTTGGGGGGTTTTTTTGGGGGGGGGTTGTTTGCTTTTGTTTTCTCTTTATTTTTTCTGTCAATGTCTGTATAACAATTGGCATGAGGTGGTCGGGGTTGAGCCTCACAGTCAGCCAGCACGAGGGCTACACCCATCTACTAATGGGACAACAGCAATCAAGAGCCAATCACAACAGGAGGGCCCACATAACCCATGCAAAGGACATTTCTACAACACCCAGCTCAGAAGATCAAGGAGACTACACCACTGAAGATAATCACTGCAGAAGGCTACCTCACCAAGACAGAGTAATAGCTGGCCTATCCATTACATAGAAACAAACAGAATAAGCAGCAAAGATGGAGAAACAAAGAAACAGACCCAAATGAAAGAAAAGGAAGAAGCTACAGGCAAAAAAGCTAAATGAAATAGAGGCAAGCAATTTATTAACAACAGTGTATAAAATAATGGTTTTAAGAATGATCAACAACATGAAAGGGGGCATAGAAACCGTGAAAACAACCAGTCAGAAATGAAGAATGACATAACTGAAATAAAGAATAGACTGGAAAGAATGATAGTAGCTTAGACAAAACAGAGAATCAAATCAGCGAATTAGAAGACAAGGAAGAAAAAAAAATCACTCACTCAGAGCAGCAGAAACAAAATATAATTAAAAATCATTATGATAATTTAAGGGGACTTTGGGACCACATGAAACTTAACCACATCCACATTATATGGGTACCCCAGAGAGAAGGAAGTGAGCAAGGTATAGAGAACCTGTTTGAAGAAAAAAATAACAGAAAACTTCCCTAACCTGAAAAAGAAAAAAGTCATACAAGAAAGAAGAAAAATCTCAAATTAAAAAAAAAACTAACATTTTATCTTAATGATCTAGAAAAAAATTAAGGCCCAAAGTCAAAGAAGAAAGGGCATAATAAAAATTAGAGCAAAATTAAATAAAATAGAGAACACAAAAACAATAGGAATAAATTCATTTAACAAAGACATGGTTCTTTGAAATGATTAATAAAATTGGCAAAATCTTGGCTAGACTCACTAAGGAAAGAAGAGAAAACAGTCAATAAACAAAATCAGAAATTAAAGAGAAGATACAAGACCCCACAGAAATACAAAAACTATATGAGAATACTATAAAAAAAAGCTATATACAACCAAATTCGATGACCTAGAAGAAATGGACAACTTCTTAGACATCTATCACCTTCTCAGATTGATTCATAAGTAATGGGAAGGTCTAAATAAGCGGTTCTCAACCTATGGGTCGAGACCCCTTTGGGGGTCGAATGACTCTTTCACAGGGGTCGCCTAAGACCATCGGAAAACACATATATAATTACATATTGTTTTTGTGATTAATCACTATGCTTTAATTATGTTCAATTTGTAACAATGAAATTGGGGGTCACCACAACATGAGGAACTGTATTAAAGGGTTGCAGCATTAGAAAGGTTGAGAACCACTGGTCTAAATGGACCAGAAAACACTAAATAAACTGAAACAGTCATCAAAAACCTCCCCAAGTTGGAGAAACCAAGATGGCGGCATAGGTAAACACCAGAAATTGCTGCTTCGCACAACCACTTCAAAATACAACTAAAAGACAAAATGGACATCATCCAGAACCACAGGAAGGCTGGCTGAGTGGAAATTCTACAACTAGAAGGAAAGAGAAAAGCACACTGAGACTCAGAGGAGGTGCGGAAGTAAAGTGCAGAGGTATGGAGGCACACGTGGAAAGGGCTGGCAACTGAGGACATGGTTATCTTTTTCAATTGGGAGGGAGTCTCAAGCTCCCGACTGCTCTAAACACCAGTTTCAGACGAGTCTCTGGGGACCCAGACTCATACAGGGAGAAACTGGACTGTCTGGCAGCGGGCGGAACTCGAGGGCGGCTTTCTCTCAGAGGTTCTTACAGAAATTACCGAG